GTAAATTTTGAAAAACCATTGATGACTTAGAAAAATATCTAAAAAGAATGTTCATTTCACTATCAGAAATGACACTTTTTTTTCATTTGGTCTCATCATTTTTCTGTAGAAAGAATTTCACTAATACGATGTAAATTACATTATTTTTTTAATCGATCTGGAGTACATAGTAAGGAAGAACGAGAAAAAAAAACAAAATCATCATGATGTGAATACTTAGCTAAGGAGAACAGAAACAAGCTGAGTCAGCATGATGATGCGCATATTTAGCCAAAGAGAACAGAAAAAAGTTGAGTCATCATGATGGAGATATTTATTTGTGTATATAAACGCATCATAGTCCCCTATATTTCTACTAAACTAATCGAAAAACGATCATCAATACGAACAACAGCTACTACTGCATAAAAAGAACATGGGTAAACTCGAAGGAAAAATCGCTCTCGTTACGGGTGGATCTGTCGGCATTGGTTTTGCGACTGCTCAACAGTTCATTGCCGAAGGCGCAGCACATGTCTTCATCACTGGACGACGCCAAGAAGCGCTCGATGAAGCTGTTAAAAAGCTTGGTGGCAAGAATGTGACCGCAATACAAGGAGATACTTCCAATCTGGACGATCTCGACAAGTTATACAGTGTAATTAAGAAGCAGAAGGGTCATTTGGATATCCTCTTTGCCAATGCAGGTATAGGTGAGTTTGCACCGCTTGGCTCGATTACAGAAAAACATTTTGACGACATATTCAACGTCAATGTGAAAGGAGTGCTATTCACCGTTCAAAAAGCGTTGCCAATTTTCAGAGATGGTGGGTCGATCATTTTAAATGCCTCGATCGTTTCCGTTAAAGCAACTCCAGCGTTTAGTGTCTACAGTGCTACGAAGGCGGCTATTCGGTCTTTCGCAAGATGTTGGACTGTAGATTTGAAAGAACGCAAGATTCGGGTCAATGCATTGAGTCCAGGACCAATCGATACATCAGGATTGCGAGGTCTGAGCAAGAATGAAGAGGAACAAAAATCGTTCATTGCCGCGATGGAAGCTGGCACAGTTATGAACCGTCTTGGCACGCCCGATGAGATTGCCAAAGCAGCAGTCTTTCTTGCTTCGGACGACAGCAGTTATGTAACAGGAATCGAGCTTTTTGTCGATGGAGGTGTAGCACAGATCTAAAATATTTATTTGTACTCTCAATTTTTTAATAAAATGTATTCAATTTGACATTGGGCTTATAATGACAATCATTTCTTGAGTTTCAAACAAGAACATTCCTGTGTGAAAGCTCTCATATGTGTCTTAATGCCACAAAGCTTTGAATTTCTAAGGAGAAATGAATTTTTGTTTCAGTAGATTCATTCATTTGATATTGTTGTTCGGGTTAAAATTGAATGAACGAGAGAGAGAGAAGCATATGAACAATTAGTGGAACACTTCGAACGCTCTCGAGCCACACAAGTCGGATTCAAGCCAGAGACTGAAATGATTAGGAAAATCTCAATTCTGATTCGATCTACTTTCTTCTCTTACCTATTTTTTCACAATTTTGTCTTCTGATAATGATAGTTGTTTTTCAGTTTCTTCGTTATAAACTTGCTTTTCATATGTGATTTAAGAAAACATTGTCAAGGAGTATTTATTGATGTAAGAAAAAAAAAAGATCAGCATATTCAGTAAAAAGAAAAAAAGAAATAATTAAAAAAGATTTTTTTTCCATCGATCGAGGAAAAATAATGTTGTTCACTATTGAAGGATTCACATTAGAACGTCGTTGAGTTATAATTTGTCCAGTGATGCTGAATTGCCGCTTGACGATGTGGAAACTGGACGAGATTAAAGATTTCTCTTTATAAGTCTAGCTAGATTGGGAAAGGCTGACTGATTTTCAGTTTTTTTCAAAATAATGGATCTTCATACTTTTCTTGGTCATCAAATTGTAAAGCTATGTATCTATTAATTTTGTCGCGCCCGGATTATTTTTGTTTTTGGAGTGGGTATGGGGTGTGCATATGGGCTGGGTATTGCTTTGTGACTGCAACCACATCCATCCCCCACGCACACCCATTTGTTCTGGCTCATCCATTATTTTTGATTCTCGAAGGTTCTTAGAGGTTTATGAATGATCTTTGCAACCAACTAGAGAAATAATGATGTCTAAAGCAATCAATAAAATTCTTTTGTAAAGTTAGATCTGAAAAATAAACAAATATTTTTTAGAGGTAATCAAATCTTGCCCATCCCAGAGGCACACTTTACAGATCTGTAGTAACCTATAGGTGTGAGTTTTCTCTTCATCCACAGCCTAATGCCACGCAGATCTACATCCACATCCTATGGAGTATATTAGGATTCGAAGCTTGATCAAAGTATATATTTTATATAAAATAAAATACCATATTTCTTATGAGTTAATAGTTAAAACTAATCGTCATTATCAGTCTTTTAAAAAGACAGTAAGTCAAGAAAGAAGTTACATAAAGTAATTTGTTAGGTGTCCAATGGTAGAATACATATAACGTTGATGGTAAGTGACGTTAACGAGCATGGTGTATCTTGTATGAGGACAATATAATGTGCATCGATTGACATGTAATATATTTAAATTTCACCTCCCTTTTAAATAATAATAGAAAGACTATATGAAAGAAAAACTTCTGATTTCTTTTGGAAATGATCGAACTGCGAACAATTTCTTTTTCAATACACTTCATTCTAGAAAGTTGTGTTCTTTTTTCATTGATAGATATATACATAGTCCTTCAGATGAAGGAAATGAATTTCCTAATTAATTGTCAATGCTAGAGAAGCTCTGAGTTTTCCAGAAAACAATATCTAGGATTTTCAGATTTTTTAAGTTACGATGATCCGAAAAATTAAGCAAAGTAAAAATCAGAAAAAAATCTTTCCCTCATCCGAAATGGTAAGGAGTTTTCTTTCAAATTGCATTAGTATTAAATTTGAAACTTGAATTCAATTATTGAACTTATCAATTCAACTATTTACTTCAAGAATTCAAGTATTCAGTTATTGAATTCAAGTTTCGAGTTTGACATATATGTGATTGTTATAGTTGAACTGTTAGAATTTCATAAAGGATCAAATAAAAAAATCTACGTCAAAATTATTTTTTCTTCAATTATTATAGAATACAAAAAAATCAATTTAAGAAATGATTTCATTTAATAAAAAAGACCTTTCAAGTCTTAATTTTCGTTTAAATTTTATGAAAACTAACTCGTAGTGAGTACAAATAATGTTCATAAGTTTACTCTTTATGGAAGAATTCAATGCAGAAAAAATACAAAATAAGATGGATCAATCTTTATACATTAAAAAAAAACCGTTCTTCTGAGTCATTTAGAATATATATGTGTTTTTAATTCTAATAAACTTATGTTTAGGGGCGTCATGTTAGTATTAAATTAAAAATAATACTAATACTTTTGCATTAGCATTAGCATTAACAGTTAACATTAATGCTTTAGCATTAATAGCATTAGAGTTAACTAATACTTAGGTGTTAGCATTAATTTAGCATTATTTTTAATTCTAATACATATACGCTGTGTCAGTTTTCGACTGCCATCTTTACATACTACCTTTAACTTTTTAAATGGTACCTGTGGCTAGTCTTTGTCACTTTTTAAGGGCTATCAGAAGGTAGTCTTTGCCACTTATCGACGCGGCATTGCTAGTTGATGTTGTGCACTTTGATTTGGAATATTGTACAATGTTTGCATTGGATGAAGTCACATTAGGACAAACTCAAAGTATTCAGAGGATGTCAAAGTCTATGGAAGTACCTTAGAAAAAATAACGAACCATTCTTTAATGTTCTAGTTTCGGTCTTACTAGTTTAAGGCTGATATCACGCACGGTGTTTTAACATTCATGATGGTTTGGTTCTTGACAACACTTATAGTTATTTATGTGCGAATTAAGATTAGTAATTCTATCAAAATAAAGTGACCAAATGATAAAGACATGCATTATTTTAGTATGATTGTACAGTTGAGTTTGATATTCACCACTATCTATATTCTGAAGGAGAGCATGGATTTGGAGAGAACACCCACACTCAAGTATCCATTAACAAGATATAGATATTAATCGAAATTAGTAATATTTTCCTGAGTGAAATAAAAATTGATATAGTGATACTGATTAATAGAAGATCGATCAGAATAATAACAAAACATTACAAAGGTGACATGAACCACTAAAATATTCTGATGAAGAGATTCCTGATTCGTCTGTCGTAAGTTTTCAACATTATATTTTTGACTATTTACATATGTTTTCTACCGATGTGAAAGCTTAATCAGATTTGCAGCAATTTAACATGTAGAAGATAATATGAAAACACAATTATCAAACGCAAAAGATGGTAATATTTCGTTCATATGAATTCAAGTGAACATCACAACATAATGAGGAAAAATCTCACCAGGACAAAGTCGAGAACCCAGTATTTCCAGCCAAACTCCCTGTTTGGAAGATGACACCCATCAAAAATAGTATCATCCGATGCAGAATTCAGGTCTGTATCCAACACAACAATGTAGACAGTCAGCATAGCTTCAAGAACAAATGTCAGCAAGTTATACTTGAAGGTACTATTAACTTTCCTTGTGTTAAGATGTCTTTTCTATTGGTTAACCTTTTATATAATCAATGAAGAAAAAAAACGCTAAATTCAACATTGATAAAATCAAGTAGGACAATAAATGATCAGTTACAGGAAAAGAACGAAAATCTACATGTATGCAACCATCATTCAAAATGCATTCTCTTTTTTCTTTAATCTTTTCATTATTCAAGTGTTCCATCAAAGCTTGTTTGTTTTGCTTTCTTGATTCATACAATAGAAATATTTTTTTTCGTTCGGGTTTATTAAAGCGCACAGGCAGACAATGAAAAATCAAAAAAAAAAAGAAAAAGGAAGAAGAACTTTATAATATATGTTTGTGTTTCTCTGTACAAACAAGAGGAGAGAAGAAAATGTTCAAGATAGTAGAAACGCATATTGACCATCTCGTATAGCTGTTGTCAGTTTCAATTTCATAATTTCTTTTGATGAATAATCTGGTAATTTGAGATAGTTGACACAGGTCATTACACTTGGTAAAAATGAATCCGGATTGATATGATCACTATTATTTTCTGCCGCTTTTCGAACAATTGTCAGTGGAGGATGAAGCATTCGAAAGCCTATTTTAAAAAAAATTCAAATAATTTATTATGAAAAATGATTATCTTTTCGTTTATGAGAAAGTACAACCGATTAAACTCTCAGTTCTAATGGTGTAAAATTGAATTGAAAAGCGAAAAGAAAATGTACAAGTTTATAAAAATTATCCACATCTTAAAAACTTGTCAACGCAATTCCTTTTGCATTAAAATATGGAACTTGATCAATTCTCGCTTTTCATGTTGATCATATGACGACTGTGGCAAACCAATGCATTACTGCTCATCATCTATGATATCTTTCATAAGAATTTTTATCTGTGCAAAGATAAGTTACTACACTATTTAAAACATTTTGAAATGTTCTAGAACAATCGAAGTCTTTTTGTTAATGCCGTTCATCGTTTTTTTTTCTAGTGCTAAGGAACTCTAGAAAAGAAGTCTGAAGCTTGTTGTTCTCGATTACAATGAAAAATGTACTCATTGATTGTTGGTCTTCCCCCAAAACATTAATTGAATTCAATTAGACGAACTAGATTTCATCAATTAGTAGGAATATATATTTTATCTATTATAAATCTATTCTTATTAGTAATACAAAATAATTTTATAGACTAATTTTGAAACTATGAGAAGAATCTTTGAGTCTATTGATAAATTTATAATTCTTTTCCTATGAGCGATATAGACAGACAATAGTGATATCTCGAAACTATCGATCATATGAATAGATATATTACGAAAGGCAACTATTCAATTTTTCGAACTAGTTTTAATTATAGAAAGGAATATATGTAGGCTTGTAGAAAAACACTTTCTTCATCTAATAGCATATACATTATCAAGTTCTACTACGTACTGTTAACATGTCGATAGGTGGTGCCATCTATTGATATGTCAACAGTACTCAGTAGAACATAATAATGCATATAAGCTTATCTCTACAAACCTATATATATCTCATTCTGTAGTCAAAAGTCTATAGTCATCTTTTAGTATTTTAATATTTCATTCGAGAAGTGCTATTGACTTTACTATTTATTAAACAAAATGACTTTCTTACCTCCAACAGGTAATCGTGGACTACCAGTTACAAATTGTAAAAATGCTCTTTGTTCATCAATATCAAAATTAATCATTATATCAAAAAGCCATTTAACTGCTCGACTGTTCAAATTATATCCATGATCACAACGTGTTGATTCAAGCAAAACTTTAAGATCCCATAATTCTGTTGAACCACTACCGCAAAATACTTGATGAAGCTATATTAAAAAAACAAAAAGCAAAGAATTATTTATATGAAATAAAAAAATAGAATAATTTTATTTTATATTATTTTTAATGATATACTTCATCGGGATAAAAACATTTCAAATGCTGAATAGAAAATATTGAATTAAATCCATCACGAAACGATTCAAATTGACGTCGAACACCTTCAACTAATGTCCAATAGACAACTAACTAAAAAAAAAACAAAAACATAAAAATTTCTTTGTTTATTTTTTGAATTTAAATAAATTTTTATGAAATTTTACATTAATATATTGATCAAGATTTTGTATTGTAACTAAACAATCTTTTCCACCTTTTTTTAATTCAATATTTGGATAACCAGGTAATGTAAATACAAGTGATAAATCATCTATTTTACAACCATCAAGTAATAATCTTGGATCATTTTCATCAAATATATTTGTATATATTGAATGATCTAATTGTGAATCATCTTTTGATTTTAAACGTTTTTTATTATTTAATTTATTTATTGTTATTTGTTGATTTGTTATTTGATTTTGTAACATTATTTTATCGCGTACTAAAACAACTGTTTGTAATTTTTTAAATTGTTCATATAAATTTGCATCTATATGAATGAGATCTTCAAGATTTAAACTTTCTTCTTCTCCTAACATCCATTTATAAAAAATAATACTAAAAGGCATATCAATCTTAAAATAAAAATAAAACAATAAATTTTTGAGATCTTAGATTTAAAAAATATTTACCATTCTTGAATCCATTAATGCTTTAGCCATAAATTTTCCAAGAAATTTAAATTTTTGACGAACTTTTGTAATTACATTTGCTTTTGCATTACGACCTAATGGTGCAGGATAAAGACCATTATGTGTATCGACATATTCAGACATTGATGTATCTTTATCTATAGAAATTCAAAAAATAAAATTCTATAGTTATGTTTTATATAAATATTTTAGACTTAAGTAAGATTTCGATTTTAAATAAAGAATATCGCTTTCATAAGAAGATCAAATATTCCATAAAAGAGCTACAATTTTTTTGAACATTTCGTATCGAAAAGAAAGCTCATTTCATTTTTTTCGGCTATTTTGCGAAATAGTGTTACTAAGAAACGATTATGTTAGTCCGATATTTCTTCTATAAGGATTATTCGCTGTAGATAGCAAATCTAAATCAGATTTCTCTTGTTTAATTGAATAAAATCTCAATACACATTGGTTGACGTATATTACTCTATAGTCAGTGTGCTATCAACTGAGTGATTCAAGGTAAACAACTATTTTTAATTTGGCTAAGATCATTCCATCGCTGATGATACTGAGATTCGGACACAGTGCTTTGAAAATACAGGGTGAGCCATAAATATCTTTACCATCCAATACGTATTGTAACTTTTCAAATATCCGGGGAAAAAAAAACAAAATGATATTCATTAGTATCAATGCAACATTGCAGTCTTTCAGAATGTAGTTGTCAGAGAGCAGAGGACCCGCATCAAGTTCAATATTATAAAACTTTACATGTGGTATTATTGAGATAGAAGAAAAGGGTTGTCTTTAGGGTAGGTGCAGGTAAAGACAATCCACACTTCTTATGCCAAAAAATAAAGAATATCTTGCTAGTTTCAACTTTCAATATTTTTTCTTTCAACTTTCCTATAGCACATTCCTCAAAGAAGAATGGTGATAAATTTTTTATCGTAAAGATATTTACATCAGGTAAAAAAAATTTTGTTAACAGAACTCACATCTATCATCTATCAGTATCTATAAATTTCTTTTTATAATTATTTCTATTAGAATATAGGTTTGTAAAAATAATTCTCAAATGAAATCTTTCTATGACATTTAGAATACAAACCTCTATGTGAATCAAAAATTTTATCTGTTCTCCATAGTTCTAATCCATTCTTTTGTAATTCTTTTGATAATAATGAATATGCTTCTAAAGTTGGACCAAGACCAAAACCAACCTAAAAAACAAAAAAACGTATAAATAATTTTATAGAATTTCAATTAATAATTTTACTTCATCTTCATATTGAACTTCTAAGAAATGTTTTGAATTCCAATTATCAAGAATTTTTTCCGTTTCTGAAAGTATATTTCCTCTTGATAATTTAACTTTTTTTCTTTCAATTCTTGGTACAACTGATTGTCTATCAGTTTGATCATTATTATGTTGTTGTGTTAACATATCTGAACTATCTAAAAGTCTTTGCATTGCACGTTCACGATCGAATGCACATGGATAAAAAATCATTTGTCGTGTTTCAAATGGAAATAAAAATGAACATGTATAACCCATTTCAGTTATCCATGATGGTATACGTCCCATCATAATAACAATTGGATCTTGTAATTGTCTATTAACTTTTGATGTTAATTTTGTTGATAAATATTCATTTTTTGATGTTAATGTTAATGATAAATTATGATGATTTAACATTGTATTTGTATGATAATAAAGATCATACCAATAAAGATTTAAATTATTTAATATATGTAGTAATGATATAGCATTTAATGATAAATCATTTATTGTTAATATTGATGATAGAGATTCATTTAAATTTGATATTAATAAAGATTTTGTTTTTGGACATTGACCATTTATCCATAATTCATCAATTGTTGTTCGAATAGGTGAACGTTTTGATGGTTTAATAGGTTTTTTTGATGATTTTGATGATGAACTTTGTGTATTAGTAGTTGTTTGTCGTAAACGATTTGATGATGATGATGATGTTGTTGTTGTTGTTGTACTAGCACCACCAATAGCTGTACTAACAGCTGGTACTGTTGATGATGATGAATTTGTTAATTGACGATAATGAATTGTATGTACACGTGTCCATATACTCGATGACGATACTACGGATTCATCAGTATCAGTTTCAGATTCACCATCACTATAAACAAATGATATCAAATAACATATGAACGTTTTCTAAAAAGTGACATCACAAAATCTTGATCTTAGATATATTTATGATAAGTATGTTCCAAGATAAGATAGCAAAAATATTCTTCTCGTATTATATATTATTTTTGTCACATATATACATAAGTAAGATAATAAGATGAAACTCAATTATAATTAATTTTTGTTTTATCAAAGATTTTCTGATTAAATTCGAAATAAATTATTGTCTGTCAGATGTTCTTTCATATGTCCATATAAAAATCGCAATTTGTTTTTGCGAACGTTTATCTTCACGTGTCATTTGACCTTGTTGATGTAAGACAAAAACAATTCATATATAGTTCGTCGGAGAACTTTTCCTATCAGCTGATACACAGTTATCGTTCTAATGTATGTTTATCGGAAAGTCATAAGGGCTAATATTTTGCATTCTATGAAAAATATGACCTTATTGTCGGCATACTTGTTGTCCCTATTACATCATTTTGTTTAGGAATATTTGCAAAAAGCTAATTATATAAGATTTGAAGGACGAAAAAATTCAAAATAAGGAATGAAATTTATATCCTTACTTTTGTATCATATATTAAATTTAAGAAAAATTTTCTACGTACGCAGTTCTTTGTGTTGGTGTACTGTACATTCGAATAGCTTGATATAAAGTCATATTATTTGGAATAATATGATCATTAATTAAAAATTCAAGTCTCATTGTTGATGAATGAGCAAGAACATTAATAACATCTTCAGCATCAGATTCATTTGATACTTCACTTTCTTCATCATCAATTATGCCAGATGAATCATCCTTTATCAAAGAAGAAGAAGAAAAAAACAAACAAAATATATATATATATATATAATAAAATTATAAAATTAATTTACATTTGAACCATTAGCAACACCACGTAAAAGTAAATATTTTTCAATAGCTGATACAAGTGCAAATGGATCAATTTTCACTGGACTACTGTTCCATTGTTTTAATGTTTTACATTGTGGATGTCGAGCAAGACTACATTTAAGTTGATGAGTTGATATTAATCGAAGAGCTGAACTATGAACAGATCGACCAGTAACATCATTGACTAGTAAAGAAAAAAAAAATGAAAATACAAACATATTTAAGATTTATTGAAAGAAAAATAATCAAAAAGAAATTTTTCTATTTCATTAACACGATCTAGCTATTGTTACTAATTGCAAGGAGATTGTTTTATTCTATCTATTTTAAGATACATTTCTTCATCATCCTTCTCCAGATGCCATTTTTTACCTCTATACTTTAACAATTCCTTTAGATCATATTTCATAAAAAAAAAAACCTATCAATACCAATAATTGCTCTATTTTAATAGATTCAAAATGAATATTGTCTGCCATTTTAAATTCACATTAATAACATATTAAAACTGTAAAACGAACATTTCTTCATAAAAATTTTTTTCTGACAAGGGAAGTTCTCCCAACTCATCACTTTTAAGTTGGGACTATATGCATCATGTAGACTCTAATGGATGATGAATACCTGGGAAAAAAAAAGTTCGGGCCTACAGCTTATTGCTACCGACATGTTGCATTTTTTTACAGTATTTTTCAATACAATGTCATGATCCCGCTCAGAAAGATTTGATCTGTAACTGTCCTGAAATAAGTACATCGAATCTGAAAATTTTGAAGTATCTATAACCCATTAAAGAAGGTTTACATGATGCACATTAAAGTCCGATGGATGCAAAATTTTCGAATTCGGAACTAATCCGACGAGCTGCTCTAATGTGTATAATCTCAACTGAAAAACAATTAATCAATTGGAAGATTTATCTTGTAAAATTTAATTTACCTCTAATAGGAAACTGTTCAAGTTGATTAATACATCCTTGTAATTTACATATTAAATGACTTAAAATATTTTGATTAGATTTTCCATTATTTAATTGTGTATGATAAAGATCAATAATAAATTGTTTTAAATCTTTTTCATTATCATCTGTATTTTCATGAGGTATATTCATAAATGTATGTAAAAATAATTTTAATCTATCTAATCGATCATTTGGTAATGATATATGATCAGTTAAATATTGAAATAATTTTGTTATTAAACCACTATGTACCATTTCAAATGGTGTTACATCACCTTTAGCAATTATATTTGCAATATCACGTAATGCTTTAGTATTTTCTAAATGATCTTTTCCAACATGTAATGTATCAACAGCTGCTGCTAAACGATTTATTATTTGTAAAGCAATATTTGATGTTGATGAATTATTTGAAAAATAATTTATACGAAAATTTTGTGCTTGATTATGTATCCATTCTTTTAATTTAGCTTTTTCTTGTGTTGTTAATGTTATTTGTGATTGTTGTTGTCGAGAAGATAAACTAGTTGACATAATTAATGATGCTGCAGCTGGTGCACTTGTTGCATATGTATATGCTTGTTGTTGTAAATAAGGTGACGGTACATAAATTGGTGTTGTTGGATGAAGTCGATTATTTATTGTTGATCCATAATGTGATGAAGAATCAAAAGATGTTGGTCGAAAGAATCCTGAATTCGTAGCACCACCACCACTACCACCACGTGTCGAACGACCACGACCAATAGGTATTGATGATGATGTATCCGATGGTGTTGATGATGATGTCATTTCATCAAACATTGAATGTAATGATGGTTTAATACGAGAATTTGATGATGTTGGAGGTATACGTGAACGTTGTGAACGTGTTTCAATTTTTGGTACATTTGATTCTGTATAACGACGTGATGATGATGATGATGTTGTTGTTGTTGTTGTTGTTGTTGTTGTTGTTGTTGTTGTTGTTGCTGTTGTTCGATATGGCAATGATGGAGTTTTTGATATTGAAGAAGAATCACTACTTAATGGTTGAATTTGTTGATCATCTAAAAGAAAAAAAGACAAGAAAATCAATAAAATAAAAAGAATTTTTCTTGCTTCTCCTACCAAAAGATTCACTAAGTGTTGAATTTGTTGGTAATGAAGAATTTTCATTCATATGAACAAGATCAAATTGACTTTGACTTGTTGTTGTATGATGTGTATGTGAAATAGATAAATTTGCTGTTGATGTTATACCAAATCCAATAAGAATTTCAATTTGATGTACAACACCTTCACGATAAAAAAATACCGAAAATATATCAGGTAATTTTTTCATTAAAATTTCTGATATTTGTAATGCACCAATAACAATTCTATAATCACATGATGCAAGCATTGATGCTATATTTGATGCTATTGATTGTTGTTTTAATATTGTTTCAAGTAAATCTGATGATGAATAATATATCATACGAAGTAATGTTTGTAAACAACGATGTTTAACAGCTGGTCCAGCTGATGTATTATAAACTTCATAAAGTATAGGAAATAATGATTGTACAAATGAATTATATAATTCAATATTATCTTTTAAAAGTTCTGTTCGAACATCACTTGAATTGTTTATTGTTGTTGTTATTGGTGTTGTTGTTGTTGTTGTTGTTGGAGATGGTGAATTATTTCCTAATTCATCTGTTGAAAGTGAAGGAGGTGATGCTGTAGATTCAATTGGATTAGGTGAACCTGGTGTAACAACACGTTTTATAAAACGTGCTTGATTAGTTTCTTCATTGATTTGTTGTAATTGTTGTAAATCAAGAAGATAATTTCGACCAGATATAACTAATTGAACTTCTTCTTCATGTTGTTGCCAAGCATGTTCGATTGTTCGAGAATCTTGAAATGAATATGGACGTAATTGACCTAAGATATATATATATATAAATTTTTTAATTAAAAATTACAAAACAATTTCAATAATGATGATTCGAGGAAAGAATAGGAATACACTTTCAAGAATCAACGTTAAGACTGGTGAATGCATGAAGAAAACTACGATCAACAAAATCAAAATCCAAGGTTTTTTTTTAACATCTTGAATAAAATTCTCTTTAGATCGAACAAATAATTTTCTACAAAATGAGATACGTCCAAATTCTCTGCAAACTTTTATTTTTTGCTGAGATACAACAATTTTATTAAAGGTCAAAAAATGATTTGTCTATAGGAAATGAAACAAGAAACCTACTTTAGAGGTTTCCGTAAAATTGCTATATTTTTATTAAATAACTTTTCAGAGAACGTCTCATTTTGTAGAGAATTGTCTGTTCTATCTAAAAAAGCAAAAGCCTACGGGTTTGGTTTTCCGAAGTCTGTGTCTTTGGCAACTTGAAAAATGATTCATAATTGCATTTATTTGTTCTCTAAAGTTTAAAATCTCTAAAAACAAACCTTGATCATCTTGCCAATGCCACAAAACATAACCATTTGCATTAGCATCATATCCTCTTCCAGCTCGAAATAATTGATCAACTTGAAATAATGGTTCATCAATTGGTAATTTAGGCATCATTTCTCCAATTAATGAAACAATTTCATATAATTCTTGTGGTATACGTGATATAAGTTCAATATTATTTATTTGTTGTATTGTTGTCATATTTGTTATTGATTCATTCATTGATAAAGCAGCTGATTTATATGTTATAGATTTTTTTGTTATTATTTTACCTTCAACTGAACCAGTTAAAAGACATATTAATGTTTCAGCTATATTCATTTTAAGTAATGTAATAGCAAGTATTGGACAATAAGCCGAAAAAATATAAAGCATATGAATAATACTAACAAATGTTATACTATTTATTAATGATGGTTGTACAATAATCATTGTTTGCATTGTTTTAAGTAATTCTTGTGATGCTATTTCACATAATATTGTTGAATCACGATAAAAATTTTCTACTAAACGTGTAAATATTAAACAAATATGTTCAATAGTTTTTTTATCATCCGAACGTAAACGATTTGTTAAATTTTCTAAATGTTCACGAATATATTTAAAATCAGTTGATGTTAATATATGTGTACAACAATTAGCAACTATTGATAAAGCTTTATGTTGTGATGTTATAGAAAAAAAATCAATGTATTCAAGACATGCACCAATACCATCCTATAGAAAGAAAAACAAAAATTGTTTTTTGTCAAGAAATTATTTTTCTTTGTAGTTTTTTTCTTTTTTTAAAACTTACACAAATAAGAATTTGTTTAGCATTTCTTTTTGATATCATATCTAATGCTGTCAATGCTTGTTCAGCTATATCAATTGATGTTATACTTCGTAACTAAAAAGAAACAAGGAATTGATCAAAAGTTGCTAATTTTTTCCTCTACATTGTAGAATAAAAGTAACTCAGCAGTAGAGTCCGTCCGATTGATCCCGGACCAGATGGGCTTTACTCAACAGTATACAAATACTTTAATACATCGTTGTATACAACTGAGATACTTTCATTATACAATATTTTTAAGAGTGAAGGAAAAATTGATGATATTATTTTACTTTATTTAAAAATATTGGTGTAGCTTCAACAACTTGAATTGCTGAACGTGGTAATGCTTCCATAAGATATGTTAATGCTCGACATGCTGTTAAAGCTATTTCAGCATTTGCTTCATTTTCATCTGCTAAACAATCACGTAATGGTGGATAAAGAGCACGAAATTGAAATCCTGGTAATGTATCTTCATTACTCATAACAAGAAACTTTAAGAAAAAAAAAACAAAAAATTCTTTTTTATTTTTCTATTATTCAACTTACAGAACATAATTCATTAAGTGTTGTTAATTTAACATCAGGATCTGATGACTAAAAGAAAAAGAAAAAAAAAACAACAATATTTATCTTTTTCATATATAAATTTATAATATATTTACTTGTAGTCCTTGAATATATTGTTGTAAACGTCCATTAATTGAACTTCCGCCTCCAACTCTACTCATTAAATGTTGAACACGGCCTGACAATGTATGAAATAATGCTGCACTTGCTGAACCACTACTTGCAGCACTACGAACAAAATTTGAATCATTTAGAATATCACGTGTTGTTGGACTATTATCCGGATCAGTATCACTTTCAGTCGACATTTGTATGGATTGTTTTGTAGTTCGATGAGCACTACTACTTGTTAGAAATGGAGATGTTGATGATGTTGTTGGTACAATACCAGAATACGTTTGAGCTGATGATGATGACGGCGGAGGAGATGATGAATTTTGATGATAATATGTAGAAGAATTAAATAAATGTAAAGGATTATTATTTGAAGATGTTACACCGGTATTATTATTTGTATGACACGATCGGTTTTCTGTACCGGTGATATTGGTGACAGGTACCGATGAACGACTAAAATAAAAAAAATGATATATAAAACAATTTATTTTGTCTTACAAATCGAAAAGGTCAGCGAGATCATCGTCACATGGCGAGAAACATATTTACACACATACACAATAAATAGTAGAGAAGAGAAAAAAAGAAAAAAAAAAAAGAAACGACTATGTCTTTAGGTAAAGAAATACGAACAACAAAAAATAAAAGCAAAGAAATATTGAATTTTTAATATTCGTACAAAATAATTAGTTTGAATTTTATTATTAGATTCTAAGTGGACTTTCATGGGTAATATTACACTTTTTATAGTTATTGATCAATAGTTGTCGCCAACAAACTTTTATGTTGATTATTGTGTCATGTTTTTTTTTCTCTCCTTTTTCTATATGAAGCCAGAACGAGAAGAATGGCTTTTTTCTCTTCTATTTTTCTTTCCTTATATGTATGAGTGCAATTACGCGAGTGCGAACAGACGTCTTTGGTCGCACATCTGTACACCGTAGTAACAAAACATTAGCTTACGAAATGATTTGAAGCATTCAAAAAAAAAGAATATAAATAAAAAAAATAAAGGCATTATTTTTTTTTTACCTAGAAGAGGATTGACCCGTTGTCAAATAATCAATATAAGATTTTGTTGTATAACGACGTGGTCGTCGATTATTACTAGTTGAAGGATCACTTACAACTGTATTTTGTTCTCGTCCGCCTATTTTATATGTAAAGAAATAAATAAAAAAAAAAAATAAAAAAGTTAATTTAGTTTTTGAATAAATTTCTTTTTGTTTTTTTTTAAACCTGTTCGTCGTTTAACACAAAAGTTCCCCGTATCTGTACTTTCAGTTTGTTTTTCCAAATCACTTTGTTTTCGTCGATTATGATGAGATAAAATAGGTGCAGAATTTCTTTTTGGTTCGGATTTATTATCTTCTTCTTCTTCTTCTTCTTCGGATGATGATTCTCGTTGACGTTTTAATGTTTTAATATTTGATAATTGTTCACTTGGTTTTTTACGACGTCTTATAGGATTTGATGCATGAACAATACTATGACGAGATGATAATGATGATGTTCGTTTTTTATTATCTTCTTGATCTTCGTTTATATCAGAATCAGTTTCTATTCGACGTTTATTATGACTAATTGAAAGAGCTTCAAGTGCTTTAGATTTTGCTTGACGTGCAGTCGTTGTTGGCTGTTGTTGTTGTTCTTCTTCTTCTTCTATAATAGCATAGAAAATTTTATTTTTTTTTTTTTGATAAGAATAAAACAAAGAAAAAAAAATTAACCCTCTATATTGAATTCGTTTATTGTTGATTTGCGTTCAGCACTAATAAAATATAAAATTTAATAAAAAACAATTTAAAATTTTTAACATACGTTAATAATCTTAATGATCGTCTAGTCGAAGAGCTCGAATTGTTTTGTATTTGGGCCATTCGAGACGATGTTGGACATTCGAAAGAATAAACTATTATAGTAATTATTTCGAGACATTGAACATACTAGAGATCGATCGCGAGTTCAATATAATGATAAGAAAAAAATAAATAAACCAAATAAATAAATAGATGAAAATAAATTCCCCAAACGAAAGAAATATTCTTTTGTTCAAATATATGGCGAAATGAAAAAAAAAGAACCTGAAACAATATAATATGTTTTTTTTTGTAATCTAGAAATATCAAATAATAGTAAAGAAATTTTTATAACTCAACTAAGAAAGAAATACAAAATCAAAAATGAACAATATGACCGATGGATGAGAGACAAGTCTCAAGTGAAATACCCTATTGGATGATTATTGTTTGTGCATTGATTTAAGTTGAATATGCATTTTAATCAGCTGATTTTCATGTTTGTAAATATTCGCATGAAGAATATTACGAAATTTGTTTTCGTTGATAAATAAAATCTCTTTGCATTTTATATAGTCCGAGACAAATATTGTTTTTTTCAATATGACTCATCCGTTATTTTATGTAGAAGTTTAATTTGTAAAATACAGTATTAGAAAATCCTATTTAAAGAAAAAAAAAAAAACTTTTTTTTTTCTGTTGGAAAATATTCTATTTCTAATTTTAACCAAATATTTGATTTCTAAAAAATAATACAATAAAAAAAAAAAAACAAAAATATCAAATTTTTTTATTTACTCATTTTTCTTCAAAAAATATTTTTATATACTAAAATTTTTCAAAAGTATATACATATTTCTGATAATTTTACAATATTGCAAACTTATTATTGTTGCAGTTCATGAAAAAATTATGAAATTGACTTACATATTATTACTTTGTTAACACTACCTATTCCAGAACAATCTATAGACTAAAAATAATATAGTATTTTTTGCAATGAATCATCTTAATGTTGTCATGTTGACTTAAGAAACGCTAATCATTAATGTCAAAATAAGAAGCAAGATGTTATCGCAAAATCAAAGCATGATATTTCGAAAAAATGCGTATATGAAATGATCAGCACTAGGAATGTTCAACAATTAGAATAATTATATCCTAAAAAAAGTTCACTGTGCTATTCAAGAAAAGATTTTAAAGTTATACGAAATTTAAATAGATTCTTTTGTAAACATTTCAAGCTTTTTATTTGTGTAGTTTTGAGAACAATACTAAGGAATTTCGTAAGATGCCGCCAATTTGAAAGGTAAGCAAAAAGTTTTTTGTTATAGTTGGATATGACTTATCGAATTATCTTTTAAAATATTGTTTTTGACATATTCAAACGATCTTTTTGTAGTAAATATTAGGAAAATTTGGTTTAAAAAAAAGAATTAGAAAAGCCTATAAAAATTGAAACGCATCAAAAGTATCAAGTTTTAATATTTATCTGAATTATGTTGTTTTTACTTTACTCATTATTTCACGAAAAATGTTTTTCAAACGAAAGAACGCAGTTTACCGCAAAAGTGAAACCGTTTATGGATCAATAAACACGATCAAAACCGCAATGAGAACCGAAAATATCGCGGTTCAAGCTGTAAATAATCTATGTCAGAACGTGATTGTCTCTGTTCTCACCGATGTGTACAGATGTATAAACAGTCTGACTTTCACGGTTTTATCAGAAAGCTTTTTCCATGGGATATAGTTTTAAAAAAATGATGCATGCCTTTTGAGAAATACTGTTTGGTTATTGAGAAAAATCGATTTTTTCGATCTGATAGCAAAACACTATAAATACGAGTTTGTATTCAAAGGTTTTTCACCATCAGAACTTCAGCTTCAAATGAATTAGCAGAATAATCTGCATTGAATAGTATACTAAATATTTAAAATTAATATTCGATATATTTCGGTTCTTATACCCTGTGAGTGTTGTTTTCGAATACTTCGATCTGTGCTATTCCTAAGATCAAAATTTGACGAAGATTAGTTTTAAGTACTGAGTATACTATTGAATGTAGAATTTTTACATGATCAAAATCTTAGAATACAAACTCGTATTTATGGCGTTTTGCTATCATATCGAAAAACATGATTTTCTTCACAATCAAATAATATTTTTCAAAAATCATGTATATTTTTTTAAAAACCATATGATGAATAAAATCAAAAAGATTCGAATAAATATTGAGACTACCGAGACTTGATATTTTTGGCATTATTTAATTTTTTTAGGCTTTTTGTGGTTTTTTTATACCTAATTTTTACTACAAAAACATCGTTTGAATAATATTTTTTAGAGATTAACTCGACAAGCTATATCAAATCATGACAAAAAACAAAAATGATTGACACTTTACATGGATGCGATATCTTTAGAATTCGGTAGTGATGGATTCTTCTTCAATATGATTATTTCTTGTGATGAAGTTTTTGTGATTAACTTACTCATTGTTAATGATTCTGATCCTTCCGATATTTTTCTACTCATTGACAACACCAATTGGGCATTCGTTGAATATTTATCTTATTTAATAAATATGCAAATCGAAAGAACTATAAATAGATATGCAATAATGACATCGATGAATATGTTCTCAAGGTTTGTAAGTGATCTTTTGTTTATATGATTATTTGATCTAGAGAACTACGGATGAGATTCATATTCAGATTTAATTTCAGACTTGGTTTTAATTTATTTTCCAGTCTAAATAGAGAAGAACTGATGTCAGTCTACTCGGGTACAATATTTCGGTTATGGTTTAACTTAAGAATGAATGATTATTTTCAAAGCGGAGGAAATAAATAGCTGAAATCTTGTGCCTTTATTTGGTCATGTACACCGAGAATATCAGATATTAGTGAAAAAATCTCTGATGAAAGTTCTTGTTAATTATCGACAGATATATTATTTAGTATTTTATTTAATCAAAAAATCCCCTCACCAATAATACAAAAACAAAAACAGCTAATTTTTTTATTCCTCTAAAAACACAAATCGGAATAAATAAAAATGAGTCTTTTATTAATCAACAACTTGGAACGATGTAAATTGCCAACCTTTTCTGATTTTATCATTTTCTGATGGCCAATCAACTGATTTCGAAACCAATTCTCCTAAATATGGAACACAAATATCAAGAATTTCATCAACATCAATATCATCGGGTAAACATATTCCTTCATTCGGATGTTTAATACAATAATTAACAGCCGCAACAACACTTATAGCTACTTGTACTGTTGTTGCATTTTGTCCTGGTGCTAATCTTCTTGCTTCATGAATATCAAGTATACTACCCGTCCACCAAGCTTGAACATAACGACCACCAAGTAAAAGAACGCCAACTTCATCAGCACCTTCAGTTATTTCATTATTTAATATACGAAGTTTTGGTTGTAATTTATAATTATGCATACGAAATTCAACTAAAGAATTTATTGTTGAATCCGATGGTAAATATGCATAATGAACAGTTGGACGATATAAAGCTGTTTTATTATTATCATTATTATTATTTTCATCATTATTATAAACTGTTAAATATTTTGAAATACCATATGCTTCACCATGTCTTATTACCATGCCAATGATTTCACCACTTGGTACCCATGAACGAACCTAAATAAAAATATTTATTTTGATTAAATAAATCGAAAAGAAAAAAAAAAGAGAAGATGTTTTACCCAAGTATTCATTCCTTTTGAAGCCAAACAAACTTGATTACATGGACCTTCTTTTTTATTATGAAAAAATGTTCCCTTAGGTATGATTTTTTCATGTGTTCCCCATCCCATTTCAGCCGGTGCAGCAGCTTCTTCACTAAGACCATCAATTGACCATGTATTAACAAATTCATTAAGTTTTTTTGGATCTTTTGTTAATTGTGTATCACGTTCAGATATATGAATTGTTTTAATATCTAATAAATAAGCTAATTGAGGATAATTTTTTATTTTTAATGCATTTTGTAATTTCGATCGTTCATCAATTGAAATTAAATTTTTCTTTTCATTAAGTACATATTGTGTCATATCAATAAGTGCACGTTTAACAAAATGTGAAACAAGTCCTGGATTACATCCATGATCAAGTATAGCTGTAGGACCATTTTTATTCCATTTAATATCATTTTGCATTTGAATTAATTGCATTTGTCGATAATATAATGTTAATAAACGTGGATCATTTTTATATGCTTCACCAAATGGTTCCCATAATTCTACAGATGTATTAACAAAACAAACTTTATGATCATGACACCATTTTACTAAACATCTTGTTTCAAGATTAACAGCAAGATCAAGAAGTATATCACCTTTTGATAAATATTTACTTAAAATATTTTCATAATTTTTTTCAGTTATTTCTCCTTGTTGATAAATAATTTGTTTATACTTTTTATGATATGGTTCAATTCTAGCCTGTTGATCGATTACATCGATAATAGTTATTGAATTGATTTGATTTTTTAATAGGAAAAAATCGATTAAAAGTGGTAATGCACATTGTGATACACTACCGTATCCAATAAGCAATAATCGACGTGAAGACGAGTCCACTTTGAATAAGAAAAATTGAGAGGGTACTCTCGTACGTAAAGTCAAAAATTAGAATCTAAATGATGTGAAATGGTAAACTATCAGCTTCCTTTTAATAGCAAATTTTCAAGGAAATGGGAGTAAATATCAGCTGCTCTTCTCTCTAACAAAATTTGACATCGTACTTTTTATATTACATTGGCATAAAGTACATCTAAAGTTCGATTTCTATTATGTGAACTCAATACAAGTGTATGATATAAACATGATTCCTTTTTTTCTTTATTAAAAGGAAAAATAGCAGAATGTTAATCAGTCTCAGAATGGTTTTGGTCGAGAAACAAGTTGAAAGATAAGAGAATATTTAGTTTTTCTTTTAATCTTAGATAAAAATCATATGGCATTTATTCGATATTCATTCGAAAACTACATGAATATATATTTAACAAAAAGCTTACTCTCAGTATATATGTCCTTATCAATCAAAAACT